AAATGCTTCTTTCTGGATGGTGTTGAGTTTCTTGAATGTTGTTGGAGTTGCATCCGTTTAGGCAAGTGAAGAGTATTCATCACTCTCCTGATTGGTACCTTGTAGATAATGGACAGGCTGAGAGGATTCGGGGGCTGAGTTGATTCCCACAGAATTCCCAGCTCTGATCTGCTGTTGTACTCAATATGGCTCACTTGGTTCAGTTCTGGTCAGTTAACCTCTAGGATGTTGATAGTGTGTGATTCAGTGTTGGTAGGGTGGACGAATATTCCTTGCCACATCTTAGCCCAAGTCTGGATGCTGTCCATGTCTTGTTGTTTTTGGACTTGGACTGTTTCAGTATCTGAGGAGCCTTAACAGTGCCGAACATTATGCAGTCATCAGTGTGCATACTAACTTATGGGTTTGTGGTGAAGTCAGGGTTATTGATGAAATAGCTGAAAATGCCTCGGTTTTGGACACTACCCTGAATAACTCCTGCAGTGATGTCCAGTGGTGAGGTGATTCGCCTCTGTTATGGACCCAGACCAGACTTCATCAAAATATTTTAAGAAGGTAGCCTAGACTTTTTCTTTTTTTTAAGGGAAATGTAAAGTGCCTTGTTCCAGAGCAATGTGACTGGTCAAACTACTCGCTGTTAAAAAAGACAATTTATTTAAACACTACAGTTAAAATGCAAACGAAAGAAAGAAGAACTTAGAATAACAACTCTGTTGGAAAACTTAACTAAAGAATAGATACAGTAACTATTTCTAATTAACTGTTCCAATACAGTAACATCCCATAAACAAACCCCTTGGCAAAAGAGGCAAATTCAAAAAAACAGATTTGTCCCACAGGTAACCCAGCAGCAGAGAGAAGCCCCAGCTTCTAGCTGTAACCAAGAGAGGGAAAAGATCGCTTCTATTTCTTCAAGCCCACAACAGCAACTGCTTAAAGCTAAACCTAAAAACTGAAAAAAAAACTAGAAAGCGTGGTCTGTGAGAGCTGGCTACACCCAGCAGCTGCCTCTATTGTTCCAACTTAAAAAAAAGCACTGAAGGCCTGGCAAGCTGTTTACTTTCTTACGGACAGCTCTCTGCTTCTCATTCAACCTCTTTTAAAAACAAACCAGGACAAATTAACCTCTTAAAGCCACAGCAACGTCACACCTCCAATAACCATAAATATCTATCTTTGCACTAGCTATGACTTCAGCAATGGAGAAATTCCCCCTGATTTCCATTCACTTCAGTTTTACTACGACTGTTGTACTGTGACATTGTATAGTGAGTACAATGCCATCTTCTGTCAAATACTGCCTAGATGGCAAGGACCATCATCTTCACTTCCATTCTGTAGTTAAGATATTCTGTCCACATTTTGAATGAAGGTTGTAATTAAATCAGGATCTAAGTAGCCCTGACAGAACCTAAACTGTACATCAGTGAGTAGTTTGTTGTTGAATACATGCTGCATGGTAGCACTGATGACCCCATCCATTACTTTACTGATGATCAAGGGTAAACTGATGGGGTGGTATTTGGCCAGATTAGATTAATACTGCTTTTTTTGTAGACTGGGCATACCTTGATAAATTTCAGTTTTGCCAAGTAGATGCCAATACTGTAACTATGCTATATATGGAACAGCTTGGTAAAAGCATGGCTCGTTCTAAAGAACAGGACGTTAGTACAGTTAATAGAATGTTTTCAGGGCCAGCAGTTATTGCAGTACCTAATACTTTCAACATTCCATCATGTCACTTGGAGAAAATTGAATTGACTGAAGGCTGGTACCTGAAGGAGGCAGAGATGGGTTATCCCCTACCCATTTCTAACTGAAGGTGGTTGTAAATGCTTCACTTTGTCTTATGCACTGATGTGCTGTGCTCCCCCATTGTTCAGGACAGGGATATTTGTGGCCCTCTTGCATGTCATCACTCACAACTGGATGTAGCAGCACTATGTAGCTAAGATCTGATCCATTGGTTGTGAGATAACTTAGCTCTGTCTGTTTCATTCTGTTTGGCATGCAAGTATTCCTGTGTTGTAGCTTTATATTTTTAAGTATGTCTAGTGCTGCTCCTGACATGCCCTTCTATATTCATTGACCCAGTTAGGGGATAGTGAGGAATGTACCAAGCTATGAGGTTGCAAATTATGCTTAAGTATAATTCTGTTGGAGCTGATGGCACACAATGCCTCATGGATGCTCAGTTTTGAGTGGCTAGATCTGTTCCAAGTCCTTCCCATTTTGCATGATGGTCATGCCATGCACCTCAGCAGAGGTTATCCTCAATGCAAAGTTGGGACTTTCTAACTACAAGGATTGAACTGTGGTTACTCCTATCGATATTGTAATGGAAAAATGTGTCTGAATAGTTAGATTCATCAAGTAAGATGTTCTTCTTATTGGTTCTCCAGAAGCCCACAAACCCAGCATGGCAGACTCTGACTCCGCTAACTCCGTCAATAGTGGTGTTCCCGAAACACTGTTGGCATTGGCCATTGAAATCCCCAACCAGAATAACTTTTGTGCCCTTGCCACCTTCAGTGCATGCTCCACATTGTATTTGTCATGGAACAGAACAGATTCATCAGCCAAGGAAGAGGCGGTAGGTGGTAATCAACATGTTTGACCTAATGTTTCAAGACTTCATTGGGTCTGGAGTCAATTTTGGGGGCACAGGGGCAACTCTGTTGCCGCATCTGGTTTCATAGGACCTATCCAGAAATTGTGATTGTTTCTGGGACTTTGTAAGATACAACTCCATGAGAATGACTAAATCAGGCAGTTGCTTGACTAGTCTGTGGGATGGTACTCCCAATGTTTTTTCACAAGTCTGCAGATGTAAGTGAGGAGGACTTTGCAAGGTTGACAGGGCCTTGTGTACCATTATTATTTCTAGAGCCATGGTCAATATCTGGTCATCTGTCTGGTTTGATTCCTTTTATCAGAGTTTGTAATGGTTAGATAAAGCTGATTGGCTTACTAGGTTATTTCAGAAGGTATTTAAGAGTCAACCATGTTACTGTGGATCTGGAATGGCGTAGGCTAGACTGGGTAAGAATGGCAGATAATTATCATTCCCTGAAGTGAAACAGATATGTTTTTATGCCAGTCGACTCATGGTTACCATTAGACTGGTTCTTAATTCTGGATTTATTAATTGAATTTATATTTCTGCATCTGCCATGATGGGTTTCGAATCAATGTCCCCAGTAAGTCTGGTCTCTAGATTACTGCTCAAATAGATACAAAATAGTATGAATGTTGGAAATCTGAAATAAAATGCTGGCGAAATATCTTTGAAGTGAGAAAGTGTTGACGATTTGAATTCAATGTGATATATCAAATGCATGTTGGGCGCAATATTAACTTCGTTTCTCTCACCGCAGGTGCAAACAGACCTGCTGAGTTTCTTCAGATTTTCTGGTTTCATCTCTAGATTACCAGTCCAGTGACAATTCCACCATTCCTCTTATGTTGTCTCCTGTAAGGAAAACAACAGATTGTTTAGATTAGACAAGTTCAACGAACTGAACGTCCTCCCCCTGGAATTATTTTTGTGAATCTTTCGTGCACTGTCCCTAATAGCTTCATGTCTTTCCTAACTGGACATACTACTCCATTTGAGGTTGAATCAATGTTTTATGCATGTTTAACATAACTTCCATGATTTTGTGCTTTATGCTTCTAATAGCAAGTCTAGGATGCTGAATGGTTTATTAACAGTTTTCTCAACCTGTCCTACCACCTTTGATGACTTATGTACATATCTTAATCAACCTGTTCTGATATTTTGACACAAGTTTGGGGCAAGTTTGACTTGAACCCAAACCTTCTGGTCCAGAGGTAGGGACCCTTCCACTGTGCCATAAGACCCCTTTCAGTGGCTTACGTACACATGCTCCTCTGACTCTTAAAAACCCATTATTTTGCATTGTCTCTCTGCTTCTGTCTATCAAAAATAATGATTTCACGTTTCTCTGCATTAAATCTTACTTGCCACTTGTGTGCCCACTCCACTATGTGTGTACCCTTTTGAAGTTCTGCACTATTCTCTCTGCTTTGTACAATGCTTCCAAATTTGTTTTATCTGCAAATTTTACATTGTTTCTTGTATACACAAGTCTAGTTCATTAATACACATCAGGAAGAGGGGTCATATGGAGGATGACTGTGATATTGTGACTGGAAATTAAATCTTGTATTTAAACATGAAATTTCACTGTTGTGTAATTTGTTGGCACATGTCCATTATGGCAGTTTAAGATTATGCTGCGTTGGTTTACCTGTACCTATATTGCTAGTTCCAATGTAACACTTCTCATTTTAATACTATACTAAGCTCTAAAGATAATCACTAAACTATGCAGAATTTTGAAAGGATGGGGATGTCGGTGTGTGGTGTTCCGGTTATAAGAATTGTTTCTGAATGCAGTTTATTGGGAATGAGACTGAGAATATATTAAAATATTTGTTTTAAAAGTCATGTGGAAATAAATTTGATATTGCTGAAGGTGGGGTGCCTCAGAAATCTGTGGAAGTATATGGCTCTCAATTCCCCTAAAAGCTTTTTGATATACTAATGACCTCAATTAACCCCTCGTGGAATGAGAATTTCTCCAACAAATTGTTCTTGAATGTTGAAATACAGCAGTATATGTGCCTAATGATTTCTTGGATTTACCACACACTCTCAACATTTCATTTTAACAGCTCTGTAAAGTAAATATTGCACTGTATGTACCATGAATTTTTTTCATTCTTCTCCTTCCTTTCCTCCAGGATTTAAGGCTCTCTAAATTCAAATAATATCAAGAACAAATGTAGGAAATATTTTAAACACTGATAATGTCTTGGCATTCAAATCTACAGAGCAAAGTCAAATTGAAAATACCAAATTGGAGCGGTCTCGTATCAAAGATTAATTCTGTCTGTATATCTGAGTAGATTTGTTTTTAAATTATGATTGTGATATTTTTGGTACAAATCTACCCATAATTTCTCCATAGACTAGTGCAATCAGTGGGCCATTTCCAGAGCAAGCAAACTGAAAGGTAAGAATATCATGCACAGTTCATCTTACCCCTTCCCAATCTCTATGGGTTTGTGAAGCCCAAATTGTACTTCTATATTTAAAAAAAAAACCTGTCTCTTTTGACTGTAAATCCTAGATAAAAATAATCCTAAATCGAAAATTTTCACATTTTGTAGCATACATGTATATTCTTGTAAGAGTTCAGCATTACTAAGCAAAGAAAATATTTAAATGTAGCATTTTTACATTTTTTCACAGATTATAATTATTACCAGTGGAGTTGAATTAGAATTACCAAAATATGCACTACTGCAGTTGATAAGTGAACACATCGAATTTGCTTGTAGTTTTGGCACATTCATTGTTTCATTGGTTCCGTTTGAGAAACTAGAGTGCTTGTAGTTATCACTGTATCAATTGTGCCCAGTCTGTTAAATGCCATCTGACAGATGACAGCTTCTCTGAAATAATTTGGACTGAATTTTCATGATATACTATAGTGGCTATTTACCCATGACTCAGGAGTACTTTGAGATTATGCTAATATTTGAAGTATAATTGTTTATTTAGGTTAGGAAGGCAAACCATTTCAAAATAAATTTTTGCCATGGTGTCTTCTTTTTTTCCCATTGCAGTGGAAAACTAGAATGATTACTCTAAGCTGGAAATAAAAGAAAATACAGTTATAATGAATGGAACACTTAATGTGACGCACTTATTTTTACAGTACTTTTTACGCTTTTAACTTCTTTATGTTTGAATTTGTTAGCACATAAGTAGACTGCTGCAAGATGCCCTCAAAAAAAAGCAGCAATTTTCAGTGGAGTCAAACAGGCTGAGAATGTCTCCATTTCATTCTTGGTTTACAATAAGTAAGCTAATAAGTCATTGTAAGAATAGAATGCTGCACCTCACTGTAGCCTTTGTGGTTTAGAAAGCCTGACTTGTACGTCTTCAAGGTTAGCGCTTTGGAAAATCATGTAATTCTGCGCCCTCAACATCAATAACCTGCAACATTCCAACTGCGTCCATGTATAAAAGTGTGACAACTTGGATAAAATGGAATTGGAGAGAAGACAAACATTCTCTACTAATCCTAATTGAATGATGGCTTGCGCCTGTTTTTATTTATGTTCTTATCATATGTATACGTTAAGGTGAGTGTGGTATCCTCAATTTCCACATATATCTATATGAAGAGAAAGCTTGAAATTAGAATTTCAAGCTCATGGCACAAGCTCTGGCGGCATGGATCAATTTAAAGTCATAGGCTTATACAGCATGAAGAGCACCTTTGTTCTTCTTCATATTGGTGACAGCTGTTTATTAGAGCTATGTGATGAATCCCAATCCCTGTTCCTTCTTGGATCTGTAAGATCTTGTTTCCATTTGAAAATTATCTAATTCCCCTGAATATCACAGTTTCTATTGAGCTTTTAAGCAGTTCATTACAGATCACAAGTTGCAGTATAAAGAAAAGTTTCATGCTGCTTCTGGTTCTTTTGCCAATCACCTTAATTTTGTCTATCCTTTGGAAACCAAACCTTCTGCTGCAGAAACACACTTCTATCAAATTCTCCTTTTAATTTTCTGATGTTAAGAAAATAACCTCAAATTGCCCACTTAGCTGAAGTTCTTTGTCCCATGTACCATTCTTGTAAATATCTCCTGTGCTGTTTCTAAGGCAATTGTTTATAAACTTTCGATTCTTATAAGAATTATAATTCTTCATTAAGCGTAAACAGTTCTGAAGAAGAGCTATACTGAACTCTAATTGTTAACTCTTTCTCTCTCCTCAGATGTTGCCAGACCTGATGAGTTTCTCCAGCACTTTTATTTAATGTAATGCATAGTGTCCAAAATTGAACACACTACGCCAGCTGAGGCGTAAACTATGTTTTATAAAAGTTTAGCATAAACTTATTGCTTTACATTATTGTTTGACTATTGAGACCTGTACATGAATGCCTCCAGTTAAATGCTCGTGGTTTATTCTGATCCCTTTAGCGAGATATGGGATGGTACAAATGGTATTTTTTATAACTGATTTGCGTTGAAGCATTTTATGCAACATCCAGTTTCTCCTTTATATAGTAGATTTCCATCTCAACATACTTAGTTACCAAATGTTTTAAAATGTAGTTTTAATTGCTGTTTGCTTTCCAATGTGGAACATAGTCAATGCTTCATTTTTCTTTCTTACATTTTTAGTCACTAAGATGCTTGAGAACCTGAAGCTGAGTTTTTTTAAAAATGTCTAACTTGAACCTAATGGTTGACCTGAAATTCTTGATGGGATAAAAGGGTAAAAGGTGGTCATTGCCCGGTAAAAGTTTTAATGACTTTTTATTTGGATTAGACTCAGCAGGATCCGAATATGTGCTATGATAACTGCTTCCAGTCTTACAATCTAATGATTTCTGTATGTACTTGCCATTTCCTTTCCTTTATTCATTAATGGGATGAGGGTATCGCTGGTTAGGTGGCATTTATTGCCCATCCCTAATTGCCCAGAGGGCAGTTAAGAGTCAATCACATTGCTGTGGGTCTGGAGTCACATGTAGGCCAGACCAGGTAAGGATGGCAGTTTCCTTCCCTAAAGGACATTAGTGAACCAGATGGGTTTTTCTGACAATCAACAATGGATTCATGGTCATCATTAGATTCTTAATTCCGGATATTTTATTGAATTCAAATTCCACCATCTGCTGTGGTGGAATTTGAACCCGGGTCCCCAGAATGTTATCTGGGTCTCATTGTTTAACAGTCCAGTGATAATACCACTAGGCCATCGCCTCCCCCTCAGCTCTTGTTTGAATGTTGTACAGATCTTGGTACGCATGGATACAGACTGCCTCAGCATCTGAAGAGTCTCAAGTGGTACTAAATATTGTACACTTGTCAGTAAATATCCCCACTCCTGATCTTATGATGAATGGAAGCCATTGATGAAGCATCTGAAGGTGTTTGGACCTACACACTAACTTGAAGAACTCTTGCAGTGAATTCCTGAGGTTGAGATTATATGCCTCCGGCAACCACCAGCTGTCTTCCTTTCTGCTCAGTCTGACTAAAATCAGTGAAGAGTTCTTCCCCGATTCCTATTGCTTTCAATTTTGTCTAGACTCTTTGTCAGACTCGATCAAATGTTGCTTTGATGCCAAGGGCAGTTAATCACACCTCACCACTAGAATTCAGCTCCTTTGTCCATAGAAACATATGAATTAATAATAAAGCAACCCAATTCAGCCCCTCAAGCTGCCTCTGCCAGTTAATAAGATCATGGCTCATCTGATTATAACCTCAACTCCACATTCCTGTCTACCCCTTCTAACCTTTCACACCCCTTTCTTTACAAGAATCTATCTACTTCTGCCTTAAAAATATTCAAGGGTTCTGCTTCAACACTTTTTCAGGAAGAACATTCCAAAGAGGCATGAGCCTTAGAGAATTTCTTTTGCTTCAGCTGTCTTAAATGGGCAACTCCTCACTTTTAAATCTTGACCCTTAGCTCTAAATTGTCCCACAAGAGCAAACATCCTCTTTAAATCTACCCTGTCAAGATCCCTCAGGATCTTAAACAAAAGCAGAATTTGCTGCAGGTCCGGCAGCACCTGTGGAGAGAAATCAGAGTTAACGTGTCGGGCCCAGTGACCCTTCCTCGGAACTCTCAGGATCTTGTATGTTTCAATCAAGTTGTCTTTTACTGTTCTAAACTCCAGTGGATACAAGTCTCATCTTCCCTCATAAGACAAGTCACCTACTCCAGATATTAGTCCAGTAAATCTTTGAACTGCCTGTAATGCATTGACATCCTTCCTTTAAATAAGATGATCATTGACCAAAAGCTGTGCACTGTATTCAGTCTCATCAGTGTCCTGTGTAACTAAAACATAACCTCCTTTACTATTTTATTCGATCCACCTTGCAATAAGTAATAACATGCTATTAGATTTCGTGCTGATATCCTGTTCCTGCACACTAGCCTTTTGCAAAGACCAAATGAGGACACTGAAATTCTTCACATCTTAGAACACTGCTATCTTTAGCCATTCAGTAGTATACTTTATTTTGTTCTTCCTGCCAAAATAGACAATTTCATATGTTCTCATATTATACTCCATTTTCCACATCTCTACCCACTCACTTAACATATCATTGTCTTTTTGTCAGTTACTTATCACCTGAGCCACTTACATAATTATAAACCGTTAAGGTCCCTGCACCAACCCCTCTGGCACGCCAATCATTGCATCTTGTCAACCTGAAAGAAGACTCATGCCAGCTCTCAGCTTTCTTTTACCCAGCCAATCTTCTATCCATAACAATATCTACCTCCTGTACCATTGCCGTGAACCGTTATTTTCTGTGGTGACATTTTGTTGTGACACCTTACCAAATTTGAAATTTGAATATGTCCATGTGACCTCATCAAAGAAATAGCAACAGATTGATCAAGTGTGATTTCTCTTCCAACAAGCCATAGTGACTCTACCTAATTACCTTGAACCTATCTAAACATCCTGCTTTATGTTCCTTAATAAAAGCTGCTGACATTTTTCATATGGCAGATTTTAAGCTAACAAACCTGATTTCTGTCTCCCAGTTTGAATAAATAAGTTATGTTTGCCATCTTCCAATCTAATGAGACCATCCCTGAATGAAGAGAGTTTTGGAAAATTAAAATCAATGTATCATCTGTCTGAAATCCATCAGGACCAGAGAATTTGGCAGCCAGCAGCTCTAATAATTAACTTTGTACCACTTCTTTGGTGTATGTAATTTTTGAGTTCTTCCTTTCCTCCCCGCTTCTGTGATGTTGCTTGTATCGTCTATTATGAAGATTGTTGCAAAATGCCCGTTCAAGTCTGTTTTCTGTTACCAATTTTTCAGTCTCCCTTTCAATTGGAACAACGCTCGCTGTAACTCTTTTAAATGTGAAATCTTTTCTTTAGATATTATAGAAACACTTATCTGCTTTTGTGTTTCTGGCTATCTTTCTCATGCTCTAATTTTTTC